TGCATTGAATGGTGGGGGAGGCCGGTGGGGGGGGGTGCGCCCGGCAGCACCGCGCATGCGCTCGCCGGGAGACTCGACCCTCGGCAGGCTGGAGGGCGCGGTGACGTCATGTGCGTGCGCCGTGACGCTGGCTGCGTGCCGGGGGCGGGGGCTCGGAGCCGGAGCGGGGTCCGTGCGGAGCCTCCCGGCCGCTACCAGGTGAGGAGCCACTCGGCCCCGCCCCCCCCGCCTTCACCTTTGACCCCTGACCCCGGCCCTCCCGCCGCGGGCTGGGCTGGGCCCGGCGGGGGGGCTGCGGCCGGAGCGGGGGCTGGGCCCGCGCCGGGGGGTCGGGAGTCCAGTGTGCAGCTTCGGGCCCCGCGGCCGGAGGGATGCGCACACGGCGGGGAGCCCGTCCGGGGCTGTGGGAGACTGAGGGGACTGGGCTGGTTTAGGGAAGAGACGGCTGAGGGGCGACTTCATAGCAGCCTTCAACTCCCTGCACGGGGGCTGGGAAGAGGAGGGAGCTGGACTGACTGCTCTCAGTGGTGGCAGATGACAGAGCAAGGAGCAGTGGTCTCAAGTTACAGCAGGGAAGTTTAGGTTGGATATTAGGAAGAATTTTCTCACTGGGAGGGTAGGAAAACATTGGAGCAGGTAACCCAGAGAGATGGTGGGCTCTCCATCCTGGGAGGTGTTCAGGACCCAGGTAGACAAAGCCCTGGCTCGAACGATCAAGTTGGGGATGGTCCTGCTCTGAGCAGGGGTTGGACTGCAGCAGTGATTTTCCACCTTTTTTGTACCAGGACCCACTTGTAAACATCAGTGGCCAGTCCCAACCCAGGACCCCTCACTCCTGACCTGCTGCTCCCTGTCCCCAGTGGGCAGGGAGGGGGCCCCAAGCAGCCCCTCACAGGCTGGAGCTCTGCCAGCCTGCAAGGGAAAAGCCCCCCATGTCCCTCATTTTTCTCCTTTAAAGGAGAATCCATTTTTAAAGTTTGCTCGAGACCCTTTCCTATGTTCCTGTGACCCACGGGTTGAAACACGCTGGACTCCATGACCTCCTGAGGTCCCTTCCAGCCCTCGTTCTCTGTGGTTCTGTGCCTGTTTGGCTCTGCTGTGTGCTCAACTGCCGTGTGCCTACTGATGGGGACCCGCCTTGCTGAGAGCAAGGGAAAGGGTGATGTGGTATGAGGTGTGGCATGATAAAAGTTTAACTAGTAGCAGCATAGCATTTATGTTGTTCAGGGGCATGGGGAGCCCTTGTTTTTTACCAAGTTGTCTTGAGGAAGGCAGTAGTCTGAGTGGACATTTTTGGCTTGCCCTGGGAAAGCGGGGGCTGGTGTGTGTTGTTTGTGGGGTGTCCTCGTTTACATGGCTTTCATGGGGTGCCTTGTTTCGCAGGGGTGCATCAGGGAAGACGTGGGGGATGCCTTTGGTGGGGTGGGGGGTGCTTTGTGTGTTGTGGATGCGTGGGTGACAGCAGTTTCTCCTGTCCTGTGTACTGACTGCTGTAGTATCTGAGCAGTGCAGGGGTGCCAGCACTTTTGCCTTTGCAGTGCGTTGAGGTCAGGCAACACCATTAGCCTTGATTAACAGGTGGGGAATGGAGGCCCAGAGACAAAGTGACTTGCCTCAGGTGTCATAGGAAGTCTGTAATGGAGCAGAGAATTGAGCCCTGGTCTCCCTGACTGGCACCTTATCCATTGGACCATGAGTCTTGCCTTTTGGTTGGCTTTGAGGGTGGGCATGGGATAGGATGGGGGATATATGTGGGGAGGTGGTGGGGAGATGTTACTTTGTCTTAGGAGGCAAGTTCAGGAAACTGTCTGTGGCTAGTATTGTTGTGTGGGAGGGGGAAGTGGGAGCTGAGGGAGATGGTGGTGGCTTTGCCTTATCTGAGGGCTTGCACTTTGGCAGCTCTTGGGCAGAGGGACCTTTTTTGGTAGAATGAGAGTGCACCCTGGTTGTGTTTGGCATATATGTTTAATGCATGTTGTGAAACTTGGGAAATACAGGCCTTGTGCTTGGCTGGTGCTGGAGGAACACTTTCTCCCCCCCCCCCCCAATCCCACTCACAGACTCACTTGAGAGAGCCTCTAGGGCATTGGTCGAGAGATGGGCAGACCTCCAGTTTGGGTGAGATGTGGCCAAGGAGGAACCCAGCTTGGTGGTGCTGGGAAGGCAGGTGAAATTGCAGCATATCGCAAGACCTTCTCATAGCACACACGCTTGCTCTCTCTCTCTCTCTCCTTTTTCCAAGTCCCTGGAGGACTGCCCTCTGGATGAGGACGAAGATGCCTTTCATGCCCTGGGCGAGGAGGATGAAGATATTGACCAGTTCAACGATGACACATTTGGAGCCGGTGCTGTGGGTAAGAGCTGTGTTTCCCCCTTGTTTCCCTGTCTTTGTCTCTGCCTCCTTCTCTTCTTCAGGAGGTGACGTATCTGAAGTAAGATGTTGTCCGTCCCCACCATGCTGCTGTTGCTTCAGGCTCAGGCAGTTCCACTTGCAGCTCTGTTAGATGTCCAGTGAGGAAGCTGAGGGGTTCCTCATTGCCTCTGTTGAGGGGTGCCTGGGAATTGCAGCTGGCATTGGAGGAGAAGCGTGGTACAACAGTTCCAGCCCCACTCCTCTGTGGTTCCCTTATAGATGATGATTGGCAGGAGGCACATGAGCGGTTGGCTGAACTGGAAGACAAGCCTGCAACCACTGGGGAGCAGGAAGATGGAACAGTCACTGATGAAATGGACCTGCTGGGGGACCATGAAGAGAACCTGGCAGAGAGGCTGACCAAGATGGTAATCGATAACGAACTGGAAGACCCAGCCATCATGCAGGCTGTGCAAACCCGGCTCCCTGTGCAAGTGAGTGCAGTTGGGGGGTGGAGCTGGAGGTGGTGGAGGAGAAGGGCGGGCGGGCAGCCAGAAAAACCTTCTCCATATCAACCCATCTCTTTTGTTCCACAGCATCCAGGAGGACTGAACTCCAGCATCTGGGATGGATCAGCAGTTCTGAGACACATCCGAGGGCCGCTTCTCACTCAGGTGTAGTGTCCCAGTATTGTTACTACCTTGACAGAGGAGAACTTGAGGACTCTCAGCCACCTGCACTGGCAGTAAATACAGAAAAGGTGCTTTCTCCCACCTTGGGAGGCCCTTTCCTGATTAGAGCAAAAGCCTGAGTAGCACAAGATTTGCCAGTTCTACACCTTGTGTCCTACTGTACTGCATCAAACCACAGGTGCTTTTTGTCTGGTGACCTCCCTCTTGCTGCATAGGATCAGACCATTGCCTGGCAGATGCACCCGAAGAAACTGAAAGTACCCACAATGCACTTACCTTGTTGTGTAATGCCCTGTCCTGCATGAGCAATCTCTTCCTGTGCTTGTGGCAACCAGCTAAGCCCCTGAATCATGGGACTTGATTCACTCTTGAAGAGCAATTCTGCTTTGTAAAACAGGACTCTAAAATAGTATTGTGAAAGAAGGGGTCTGTGGCTTTTCCTTGCTGACTCCAGATCAAGCACATTTAGCTTAGAGGAAAAGCGCAGCCAGTTCTCCTGGTATCCCCTGGGATCTGTGAGTGAGACTGCTTATAATATACTTGCGTATTATCCTTAGTAAACTAGCCCCACTTGAAAGTTGGTACAGATGCTGTTAAGGCTAATTTAAGGTAACTAATCTCTGCTGGCCAAATCTTCAAGAATTCTGGTGTCTTAAGCTGGAATAAAACCCAGCTTCCTGTCTTCTGCAAGGCAAATGAGGCTAATAAACATAAATCTGCTGCTAGAGCCAAAAGGAGGAGCAGTCATGTGTATGAAACAGTTTGCTGCATTCATCCAAAAGTCTTGTAAAAACATTTCTCCTAGTAATGAGAGGCACAACCTCTCTATGCCTTTCTTTGTCAAGCAGCAAATCAGGCCTGGAGAGTGCTTGTCTCCTGACTTTCTGATATGCTGGACCAGTGGGACTGCCATGAAGATGTGCTAGCTGAGGGGAAGTGATCTCTGAGACTCAAGGGTTCTCTCTGAGATGGAGGGTGTGCTGGGCTGCCTTCCTGTCACTGGCAGGCTGGTAGAGTGTGATCAGTTCAAAGTAACTGACCATTGTCCGTCATTTTCCTTCCCTTGATGTACAGGAGATGCCTTCCGTGTCAGTGCTTGACTACGCCCTGCCTCAGAGGCCACCCCAGGCCCGGGATGAGGAGCGCGACCTCTCGGAGAGGGCACTGCCCAGGCGCTCTTCCTCCCCTGTCATTGGAAGCCCCCCTGTCCGTGCTGTCCCCATCGGCACCCCGCCCAAGCAGGCTGCCATGCCGAACTTCAACCAGCAGGTGCCTCCTCTCCTCCCTCTCCCCTTCCATGAAAGCAGTAGACACAGCATGGTTTGGGTCAAGAAGAAGAACAGAAATAGTGGGGAGGAGAGGGTGTAAAAGGGGTCCTGAAGGCACCTTTCCTAATCTCTTACCACTCGCACAATCTTCAGAGCAGAAAACCACAAGATTGGTGGTTTATTTCACCTGCTGTGAGTGTCTGGCTTCTGGCAGGAAATGGAAAGAGGGGAGGGGTGGGTTTGTTCTCTGATACTCCTTGTCCTGCTGATGTCCCTACTGTCCCTGCAGCCTGCCTGGTCCTGCTATGTAGGTTGCTTTCATTTGCAGGAGGGCATGGGGACTACTATGCATCAGTGTACCCTGGTGGTCTCTAGCCAGGGTAACTGCCACAAGGTGCTGTCTGCGGATGCTGCCCGTGGTTGTGTTGGGTTTGTCTTTCCACCATGAGATGGAGTGATGTGGGAGGTAGACGGGATGGAAGAGAAGTCTTTCTCCCCACCCAGTTTGTTAGTGCTGGCCTTGCTTTTGGCTGGTCCACGTTATGCCCAATTATACATTTAAGAACAAGCAGTCTATTGAGAAGTGTGTGTTCTTTTCATGCATCCGTCAGTCAGCTCCTATACAGCCTTGTTACCCAAGGTCCAAGTAACTTAAAGATTTCAGAGGCTGGGTGGAGGAAGAGTTGGTGTGGGAAGTCTGGTTACTAGAACTAAGACCATTTTCCGTGTGTGTGGTTTTTGTTTTTCCCTTCCTCTTCTTGATAGATCCTATGTCCAAAGCCTGTTCACATTCGGGCTCCAATGCAGCAGCGTTACCCTGCCCCTTACGGCGAGAGGATGTCTCCGAACCAGCTGTGCAGTGTCCCGGTACCGAGTTCCTCAGCCCTCTGTGTGTTCCCCACCTGATCCCCTTCTGCGCTAATGTCTTAGTCCTGTCCTTCCGTCCCCCTCCCCCATCTGAACCATAAGAGTCATAATTTCTAGTATCAATGAAGTTGGTGCTCCCTAAGTCTCCCTCCTGAACCTCCAACATTTTCTAACACTGGCATGTGTCCCTGCAGTCCTCATTCCTGCCCTCTGCTCCCACCCATAATTCCAGGCCCCTGTGTCTAAACTTTTTTTTAATGGGAGCCATCCGGTTGTGAACTTTATTCACCAAAGTCAGTAGATCAGCACTTTCCCTTCCTCCTCTCCAATCAGATCAGCTTCTCGGTGCCCCAAATCTGTCTAGCTTTAGTTTTTCACATCCTCTCGCTTTGCCTGACCCAAATGTATCTGTAGTAGTGTCCCTGCTGATCATTCATATTTTGATCCGTTTTGTTTCTTTGTTTAGAGTTAGTGTTTCCTTTTCGCTCTTCCATTTTCTTTCCCCAGAATTCCTCCCTCCTGGGCCACCCGTTCCCTCCCAACGTCACTCCTGTTCTCACCCACCTGCAGAGAGCACAGCTGCTAGGAGGTGCACAGGTAAATCTCTGACTACTCCCTCTCGTGTTCTGTCATTGTCCTCTCTTAGTAGTACCCTATGTGTGCGGTTTGGGATCTGAATCATGTGTTCTGCCTTTGCACAACCCTTTCTTTCCTTCTGTGTCCCTTCTCCTATATGGCTGTCAGTGGCTTCCATTTTCTTTCCTCTGCTGGACGAATCAAGCTATGCTGGTCAGTCCACCTGTCTCATGCTCTCTTCCCAGCATATGCAGCTGATAGTGTTCTTTGTCCCTACAGGCCGGCCGTATGTCTCCCAGCCAATTTGCTCGAATCTCTGGACTTGTTGGTAGTCCCCTCCCATCCATGAACCCCAAGTTGCTGCAGGGCCGAGTGGGGCAGATGGTGTCACCAGCCAGTGGGTTCCGTGCCTTCTTTGGGGTGCCGCCCCCTCCAGCACCTCCCTCAGCGCAGCAGCAGCAGCATCCCCCATGTCCTGGGTCCCATTTGCAGAACTTAAGGTACCACATCCTTCCATTGGATAAGCAAATGGGATTGTGCTCAGTTTGTGGATACTTGGTAGCTGCCCTTCCACAGAAACCCATCTGCAGTGGTCACTCTCTCTCCTCTAGGTCCCAGCCACAGATGTTTCGACCAGACACGACTCATCTTCACCCACAGCATCGGCGACTTCTGCATCAGAGACAACAGCAGAACCGGAAGTGAGTGTTTGGGTATACAACCTATGTTGGTGGGCAAGGTGGGTATGTACTGCCCCGGGGTATGAATATATTCCTCTATGGGGATCTTTTTAGAAGAATTGGTGATCCCCAGTCACTTAGGAGGGGAGGGCAGCTGGCCTTCTGGCTTTTGTCTCAGGTTCTTTCTGCTGGGTCCCCTTTTGTTACTGGGCCTTTTCCCCTGTGCTTTCATGGGGTTCCCCCCCCTTGCCCTCCTATCAGTCAGCACCGGAATCTGAACGGCTCAGCGGGGGACCGAGGGAGCCATCGAAACAGCCATCAGGAGCAGATGCAGAAGGACCCCTATGCCAATCTTATGCTGCAGCGGGAGAAAGACTGGGTGTCTAAGATCCAGATGATGCAGCTGCAAAGCACTGACCCATACTTAGATGATTATTACTATCAGGTAAATGCTTTGCACTTGCCAGCTGAGCCACAGCTGGCTACGCCAACCAAGCCCACATCTAGGTATGAACCTGAATCTGGAGCTGTGAGTGTACTCTGTGCTCCCCTTTTTCAGGTCCTACGTGCCCCTAGATAAATTGCTTCTGGCAAGGCTGAAGCTCTTAGCACAGCATCTCCTCTTGGTGTTGGCTCTGGCTTTTCCTTCAATGGGTATTGCTTTTGGTGGTATGCCAACTATATCTACGCAGTCTGGCTTGTTGGCCAACTGCTGGGCTCAGCCGACAGTAGCACAAAGGATCCAAACTTGTCCTTGTTCTGCAGTTCTAACTTTCTCCTTCTCTTCTTCTTTCTCCTTCCTTGATTCAGAATTACTTCCAGAAGCTGGAGAAAATATCAGCAACTGAGGAAATGCATGGAGATGGCCCCAAGAAGGAGCGTACTAAACTCATCACGCCCCAGGTAGCCAAGCTGGAGCATGCCTACAAGCCAGGTAAATGCCCCTCCTCACTTGTTGCTCCACATCCCAGGTAGGGGAGAGATGGGTGGCAAAGCTTGTATGAGAAACAGCTATATATTCTGCTCTTAAAAGGGTGGAGGCTGATGCTTTAGAATGCAGCTGGGGGCAGGAGAGATGTCTTGGAGGCTTGCTCTCTGGCCATCTCTGATTGGGGAAGTACAAGAGTAAACAGGGTGAAACCAAAGTTTGTTTGTGCTTGGGAATGGGATCAATAGGGTAGAGTGTGAATGGTTTTAGGCTTGGGTGTGGATTACCTCTGCATTACCTCTCCTCTGTCCTTGTAGTGCAGTTTGAGGGCTCATTAGGGAAGCTCACGGTCTCCAGTGTGAATAACCCCCGGAAAATGATTGACGCAGTGGTGACATCCCGCAGTGAGGATGATGTAAGTAATGGTGGTGAAAGCTGCTCAACTTGATCTTGGGCTTTTCCTCTCTTCCTCTTTCTCCTCCCTGGGTTATGGTCTCCTCTCTGCTCATGCCTCA